TCCCAGTAGACAGTCGTTTGTGCGCTGTCCGACTAAACGGAACAATAAGAATCCGGAAAGATAGGGACACTCGTCGCAGCCTCTTCGTCGTTTCTGCCTATTCTCCCACTGACTGCAGCTCAGATGATGTAAAAGATGAGTTTTACAGAAAGCTTTCGGACCTTCTCCGAAAAGCTAAGCGCTCGGATGTAGTAATAGTGGCCGGTGACTTTAATGCTCAAGTAGGTAAACTAAGCGATAGGGAAACACACCTAGGTGGATCTTATGGTGTCGTGGCTCAAAGAACAGATAATGGCGACCGTCTGTTGCAGCTATGCTCAGATAACCGCCTGTTTCTTGCAAATACTAACTTTAAGCATAAGGAAAAACATCTTTTAACTTGGCGACCCCCTAATTCGTCCCAACGTTGGACCCAAATAGATCACATGGCTATCAGCCACCGATGGAGGAGCTCGATAGAAGACTGTCGCTCATTCTGGAGCACATGCCTAGATTCAGATCATTCTTTAGTGCGAGCGCGTATTTGCTTGCGTCTTACTGGACGTAAGAAAGACGCTGCAAGGAAACATCTTACGGCCCTACTTAACGATAGTCAAACTAAGAGTATATTTCAGGAACAACTAGGAAAACAGCTAGGCAGCCATGTATGTGATGCCCACCCCGAGGCAGCATGGAATGATATCCGAAAAGCTGTGGAAACAGAATGATATCTGTTAGTAAGGTCAACCATAAGGTTAGGGAGAAACGCTATCTCAGCAGCATCTATCGCATTGATAGATGCTCGGAAACTCATTCCACCCGGCTCTGAACATAATGAAGAGCGGAGTCAGCTTAAGCGTAAGGTGACAAGAAGTCTACGTAATGATCGCGAACAGTGGTGGGTAGCGAAAGCAAGAGAGATGGAAAAGGCAGCGACAATAGGTAACAGCAGACAATTGTTCAGACTCGTTAAGGAAACCGGCATTAGGAACCCGACCGTTAGCGAAACAATCTCAGAGAAAGATGGACATATTATTCATTCTCAATCCAGGAGATTGGATCGATGGGCAGAACACTTTAGGGATCAGTTCAACTGGCCTTCAGCCACACTTCGGTTTCCCAAGATCTCCAGTCAACCTGAATGGCAAGTTAATGTAGGTCCTCCGTCCCTTTACGAAGTTGAAAAAGCCGTAGGAAATCTGAAACGAGGGAGAGCAGCAGGCCCTGACAGGTTTACTCCTGAGATTTTTAAGGATGGTGGTCCAGTATTAGCAATGAGATTAACCGAGGTCTTAGGTAGAATTTGGGAACTGGACGTAATCCCATCTGACTGGTCTCAATCACTGATTGTGCCAGTCTATAAGAAAGGACAAAAGTCCTCTTGTGACAATCACAGAGGAATCAGTTTGACTAATATAGTGTCTAAAATATTAGCCTCAACAATACTTCGACGCCTAATCACAGCTCGTGAAGAACAGACTAGAGAAAATCAGGCCGGTTTTCGACCTGGACGTGGTTGTATAGATCAGATATTCACACTACGTCAGGTTCTAGAACAGATACGCGTTCAGACGCCCCACAATGGTAGTATTTCTCGACCTTAAGGCAGCATTCGACTCCGTTGATCGTGAGGTTCTATGGCAGTGTTTGTCACTGAAAGGAGTACCAAAGAAGTACATTAAACTTGTAAAGGCTCTCTACTCGAACACAACTGGTAGAGTGAGAGCTTATGGTGAACTGTCATCAGAATTGATTACCTCAAGTGGTGTTCGTCAGGGCTGTCCACTCTCTCCATTCTTGTTTAACTTTGTCATTGACGTACTTTTAGAGATAACACTCTCCTCATCTAAATTTCCAGGGGTTGAACTTCTACTAGGAGGTTCACTTGTTGACTTAGAATATGCTAATGACATAGTTTTATTTGGTGAAGACGCTGACAAAATGCAGAGTCTTCTGACCACTCTAAGCAACAATGCAAGCATGTTCGGGATGCGATTCTCTCCCTCGAAATGCAAAATGTTGCTTCAGGATTGGGTTGCATCGATACCCGAACTAGTGATAGGGAGTGAAGTAGTTGAGTGTGTCGACCGCTTCACTTATCTTGGAAGTCTCATCAGCCCTTGTGGTCTGGTGTGTGACGAAATCTCAGCACGGGTACAGAAGGCTCGACTAGATTTTGCCAACTTGCGTCATTTATGGCATAGGCGAGATATCCGTCTATCAACCAAAGGACGGGTTTACTGCGCAGCAGTTCGTTCCGTCCTACTCTCTGGCAGTGAAACATGGCCGGTAAGAGTAGAGGATATTCGTAGGCTACTAGTATTTGATTATAGGTGTCTTCGAAACATTGCTCGTATATCCTGGGACCATCGAGTAAGTAACACAGTTGTTAGGGAACGGGTACTAGGTAATGATGGCAAATCCATTGATGAAGTGATGAAACTTCATCAGTTGAGATGGCTGGGACACGTGTTACGTATGCCCAACGACCGACTGCCTCAACGTGCTATGTTCAGTGGTATAGGAGTAGGTTGGAAGAAAGCTAGGGGCGGCCAGACCAAAACATGGAACAAGTTCATGAAGTCACTGACAAGTGGACTGAGTCATGTTGGTAGGTGTAGACTACCTGGTTGGGGACCGCGAGATGAAAGCAACCGATGGTTAGAGACCCTGAATGACATGGCTCAAAATCGTTTGCAATGGCGCAGATGCATCCACTCTTTGTGTTCTCCCGAATTCTAATCTTCTGAATTCTTCATGTCCCTTTTTTCCTCTTTCCAAATTTATTTAACTGGATTATAGTCCTTGAATAACATCTCCAAACCCTAATCTTCCCGATTACTGCTTATACTCTTATTACCTCTACCACTACGGGATTTGAATCGACAACTGCATCTCTGTGCTAATGTGGTGTGGCAACTCGAACCGATGTACGTACGTACGAAATTCTACGTTGTTACTGACTGACTGAGTCTGCATCTACCAACATGGCTCAGACTAGAAGTTAGTGACTTCATGCACTGATGCCACGTTTTGGTTTGGCCGCCCCTAACTTTCTTCCAACCATCTCCAATACCGGATAGCATTGCACGTCGTGGTAATCGGTGTTCAGGCATACGTAACACGTGGCACAACCATCTCAGTCGATGAAGATTCATAACCTCATCAACTGATTTACCATCATTCCCTAATACCCTGCGTCTAACCTCACTATTACCTACCCGGTGATCCCAGCAGACGCCAGCAATATTTCTAAGGCATCTGTGATCAAATACTAGTAGCTTACGAGTGTCTCCTACTCTTAATGGCCATGTTTCGCTGCCGTAAATTAAAACAGAACGAACTGCCGCGTAGTATACTCGTCCTTCCATTGATAGAAGAATATCTCGATTTCATCATATGTAACGTAAGTTCGCAAAAGCCAAACGAGCTTTCTGAATCCGTGCTGAGATTTCGTCAGACACTAACACATTAGAACCAATCAGACTTCCAAGAAAAGTGAAGTTGTTGACGCGTTCGACTACTTCACTCCTTATCATCAGTCCAGGTGTTGATGCACGTCAGTACTGAGTCTGACGAATAGTGAATATGGTCGATACAACCACGACCAGTCCTGAAACCAGCCTGATTTTCTCGTGTTTGCAATTCACAAGTAATTGCTAAGCGCCCGATAATTATTGAGGCTAGTATTTTAAATGCTATATTAGTTAAAATAGTCTCTCTATAGTTATCACAGGATGATTTTAACCCTCTCTTATATATTGGGACAATCAGTGATTGTGACCAGTCAGATGGGATTACGTCTAACTCCCATACTTTAGCTAAACTATTAGTCAACCTAATCGCTACAATTGGACCAGTATTCTTAAAGACCTCTGGAGCCAATGCATCTGAACCAGACGCTCTTCCTCGTTCAGATTGGCTATAGCTTTTTGAACTTCAACTAGAGTTGAGAGACCTAGTTCAGTGTTCTATTCAGGCTGTTTTGGAATGGTGAACAGTTGTAGAGTAGCTGAAGGTAAGCTGAACTGCTCCTTAGTGTTTCGCCCATCGTTCTAAACGTCTGAGCTGAGAGCAGATAAGTGTCGTCTTTTTCTGAGATCGTCTCACTTACAAATGACTTCTTAATTCCAGTTTCTTTTATTAGTCTGAAAAACTGTTTTGGGTTACCTACAGCCGATGCCTTTTCCATCTCTTGCTTTCGTTGCCCGGTCACTGCTCACGATCGTTCTGTAGACTTTTGGTTAACCCAGATCTGATTTGATTTTGCTCGTCATCATGTTCGGAGCATGATGAGAAAAGTTTACGAGAGTCTATCGGTGCAATAGATGTCTCAAAATTTAATTGGTTTTTCATGACATTTTTTGGAAGTAGCGATCAAATATAAAAATAAAGCTTTAACATATTTTAAGTTCTAGAACCAACCACCACAAACTGTTTTGTCCGGATCATTACGAAAAATTACTAACCATAGACACCGACTTGCTTTTATGTAATGAAAGCTGATAGAAAGATCTCATCAACTCTGCAGCATCTTTAGATCTATGGAGCCGCTTGCATAAATTATATAACCCTATTAATCGGCCATACATACCAAAAAGTGAGAAATTAATCTCAGAGCACTGGATACTGAGGAATGGATTCGGATTTGATATATCTTTTCTACCTCAAACACGTTTGAGTAAACAAGAGATAGGTGTATTTTAAATCCAAAAAGCGGACAGAATGCCCAAGCAGAGACTTTGCGGAGTATTTTTTCCTTAAAACGTACTACCGGAATATGTCCACAACTGAAGTCATATCATTCAGGAACAGCTTAGACGCTCGCGGAAGCTTACCAATAAACCACCAACACAGACCACTAACTATATGTACTGACGGAAAATATTTAAATCTTAATCAGTGCGAACTGGAGATGAATACTTCAACAGACTACAATTATCTATGATTGTAAAACCAGGCACATAGGAAGCGAAACGAAATTCAAGGTGACCAACAAAACAGAATTCGATGAGACTCACAAAACACGCAACCTACAAATCAACCACGAACTTCAGGAGCAACTTCAGATGTTCAATATCTCTAGTCTTCAGTTGTAAGGATCGGAAGTCTATCGACTTATATAAACCCTTGAAATTAGTGCCGCCGTAAAGATATAATCCTTTTTTAGATGTTTTAAATTGAGGTCATGATGTTACGTATTGTGGTAGGGAATTTCATTATTCATCAGTATAGGGTTGTGGAAATTATTAAGTTTTTGATTGAGATCATGAAGTGATTGATGTTAGACCCCCATCGGGAACTTGAAAGTACTGGACGGCCGTTTCGTCCTATTGTGGAATACCTCAGCATTGTACATCCCCGACCCCGCGCACAGGATTCGAACCCAGTCAAAAACTTAGTAATCTCCACAACACTATACTTATAATTACCATGTGCTCAAATGGTTCAAATGGTTGTGGACGGAACAGAAGAAGCTTTCGCCTAACAGGCCTCCGTGTCTAGTAGCAAGGGATCACCAAATCCTCCAGGCAGGAACCTAGGTATGTTAACAATAAAAGAGGAAAAGAAATTAGTAAATCATAGTGTGATACTATCCTTAACCCTTAAGAATGGATCAAGTTGCCTCTTAAAGGACTTCTGGGAATTTGCTTGGACTAGCTCGCTCGGTAGCGAATTCCAGCATTTGACAACTCTTAAGGAGTAGAAGTTGCTCACTAGTGACTAGCTTCGCGAGATAATTCACGGAGTTCTGGTGAGAAGCCGTGACTAGTGGGGTTAATCTGTGTCGAGTAGAGACAGGTGTCTACCTCAGTACAATAAAAGATGGTCGCACAATTTCGTGGATTGGTTGAGGTTAGACACTAACACCGTTGGGTGCCGACTCAGTGATTCAGAGGCTTAGTGCTCGCGCGCGAGACTGAAGGCCTTGAGTTCGAATCACGTAAGCGGGATCGTGGGTGCGCACTGCTGAGGAGTCCCACAATGGGACGAAACGACCTCTCAGTTCTTCCAGGTTTTCAATGCTGGTTTGAAATCAATCAGTTCATTATTTCAATCAACAGATTTCATTAATCCATCACGCGGTGTGGGAAACTGTGCTCCGGACGTAAACGACTTTATCCAAGTTTCTAAATTCAGAATTTCATCTCATTCGATAAGTCATAGAAGGAAAGAAGAGATAAGACACAATAATACCAAGACCATCACTGAATATACGGTAAGCCAATAATCGATCACTCGTTGGTGACCCTTTAATCTAACACCATGTGAACCGTATGAATGATTGGTTATTATTGGAATACACATGCCAGCTATCCTCGTGTATAATTACTGACCTGATCTGCGTTACTGAATAACTGAGTTAAGTAACCCGAATACGAGAATGGAATTTATATATGTTTATATCATACACTCAGTGATCTCAACAGGATATCAGGGAGACGAAACAAAGAGGCCAGAGCAATAACATATTGGAGAACATAAGATAGACACCTCGATTTATTCATGTGTTAACCAATATTTATAAAAATGATCTACAGACATGTGATAAGTAGGATAAGATGTGCACACACATACACTCATCCAAAAACAGTCAGGATAATTAAGCCAATAAGTGACAAGGTCTAAATATGGTTTAAAAAGCGAGTAGATTGACTTGTCCGGAAGCTAGAATAAACTACGATGGCGTAACATAGCATTCGACGTTACGCTAACCCTCATAAATCCGTAGCATGATGTACGACAACAAAAATAAGTCGAGGCGTCTCATTCTATCTTTATAAGATACGCCAGAGATATATCAAACCACTTAAGCCTCTGGCTGGTGAACTCGTTCCAACACATCCGCCTCAAAATTGAAGTAACAACTAGCTGCTTGAATCCTATGACTTATTATTGCTAAAGCTAAATAATAATAACCACCCACACATTCAATAGACCGGTGCGTTATGTTAGATTGTAGAACTCGTCCAAGTCACTACATGGTAAGATTATACAAGGGAAATTAGTCGAGTTTGTCGACCACTTTACTTACATATGAGACTCATTAACTATGCTGAACCAACGAGGTTTCTTTGCGAGTGAAAAAAACTTCTGTCTGTTATTAACGTATACCGACTCTAGCTTATCAAAGACTAGTAAACTAAACAGTCTCCTATAAATTATTGGTGACTCTGAAACAGTCTTTGTAAGTAGAATTAAATGTATAAATTGCAAGTGTTTTCAAAGTACTGCTTGTGTATGATAACAACGCATGGTATTTAGATGGAGAGATATACATCTCAAATATGCTTTTATTGTTGCTAAAGGTGGTCAGTCGAACTTCTATTAACCCAACAGTTTAAAGAGCGATTCCAGTGTGTGTGATGGTTTTTATTTTTGCTGTGCAAGGTAGATTTTTGTTTAACTTTAAAATGTTTCAAAACATGATAACCGACATGATAAATGAAATTTCATCTATCACAATTATCCACTGAGTGAATTCATGACTCCCGACACTGCAAGAGCAATGAATCTAGAACAGGGGGAAAAGTTTATGTTGATAAAAATCCGTAGAGATGTGAACTGAAAACCAGGGTCATGGTGAGGCAGTAACTCCAGGACCCAGCATTAGCGTTTGCCAATTCAAACTACTACAACTCACAATCGCAAAGAAAAGGGGATTAACTAGACGGGAATCAAACATGAGGAAACTGTACCAAACGAGTCAAAGGTCTGAATTTGTAGCAAACGCAGTTGCTTCTAGTTAGTTTGGAGGCAAGCCTTATCGAACGCGTTCTTCTGCATATATTGCACCATTGTAACAGCCATTGAACAAAATGTTGAGACCCAAAACAAAGTAATTATTCTGACTGCAGTTTCACTACACATCAAATCGTACTCCGTCTTTACTAGAGAATGTAGGTATTGTTTGAGACACTATAGTTTGAAGGACAGTATTATTTAATGAACTTCAACATGATTTCGCCATCGAAATAATAAGATACAATAAAATGTAGTAAAAAGACTTTGATGATATCGAGCTGGAAAACCTGAATTATATGTTTAAAAGCAGACAGTAGTTAAATTTTTCTAGCCCCATTAACATAAACGAGTTCCTAGCGTCTTGAAATCCTTCTTAATTGTATTACAATCAATTATACTATCAATTCATTTTTTCGAATCTCTTCTAACTCAGTAGTTTTATTTTTAACTGAGATTTACCCATTTCTTTCTGAATTATTAGCATCTTCTCATTATGTAGTTGCTTATTGTTAACCCCTTAATTTATTATTACTATCAATATTTTAAAGTTTCTAACTGGAAATTATATACATTCGCAATATTTTTATTTATTCTGTTAATTCAACTACATCTCTGCTGTACTATGCTGGTATGTGTCCACAACACCTCTCAATGAAATTCATTTGTCTAAGTGCTTCTAATCCACCTTGTAATTCTGACTTTTAAGTACCACAGATTGTAAACAGCTAACAAGAACCTGACGAAACACAAAACGCACACATGTTAATTAGCTCAGGATCCCGTTCTTCTACTAAAAATACATTCGTTAGAACTGGAGTTTCTTATTGTACAGGTTTCTTACTATATAAGTGAGAATAACGATCAGATAAATTAGTTAATACTTCATGTCGTAGTGGCTTAGATTAGCTGTTACTTTACATATTTCTTTTTGAAGCCTAATATTTCACCACGTGTGACATTGTCGCCCTACTTTCCCATGTTTTTTAGTCCATTTTTCCACTTTAATTTTTTCCTCAGTTCTCTCCTTCTCTGCTATCTAGAACAGAAGCAATGTTATTTAAATATTATGAGACCCTCTGTGCGATTAACACCCATTAGCAGCATTGTAGCGGTGTACTTATTAGCATGTTAGGACGTCACATTAAATCTATCTTGCTTAAAAGTATGACGTATCTTCTCTAAAACTCGTGACTCCTTGACCATGAAGCATAAACCTGTGGGTCTAATTGATGAAGATTTAGCAATGTATGTTTTTGAACAAATCGGCTGATATAATATAATGTCAACTCATTCGCCAGGCACTTAGGTATGAGCCACACTGTAAATGTGAGGGCTGATAATACTACCTGGCCGCCAGAACTTAAATAGGTCAGAAACTTTCTGTAATTGTTTAACAGTGTCATCGTTAGAACTTCCCTCTATCGTTATGAAACTGTAATTACTAGCTAAAACGATCTTGCCCAAATGTTACTAATGTATGTGAGACAATGATGGCATATCAAGGAAGCTCGAATCCGACATGTTACCGTAAACTGCATACATGTCTTTAAAGTGGAAACATCAGAGAAAAACCCATAGGGCCACGGATTTGTTTAGTAATTTATTCTCACTTCAGATGGCAAAAGCCACCAAACTGGCGATTGACAGTTCGGAAACACTCATTTTATTTGTTCCAGCGTGTTATACAACCATAACTGGGTGCCAGGTTTACACTCTCTGGGGATATCATCGAAAGAAATATTCACAAGCGTAGAGTTTGCTAAGGTTTGGGGAGTAAAATTATATTTGATGGTCTTTATTCATTAAGCTCAGTAGATTTGGAATTTCAATCATCCGCTCTCTCTGAAGATCTTGCAAAGATTCTTTAATGACGTGAGAGAAAAATTGAATAACCGTTATTCCAAAAGGAAAGGACATGTACGTAGCAACCTGCGAATCTGACTGCTATCAGGATTTTCTAACAGTAACGATTTGTTTTACCAAACACAAAAGTAAGTCTCATCCAATGTTTGTACGTATTATCGGTAAATAATTTAAGGGGAACCCAAGACTAACTAATAATTCTTATTCCATTCTATAATTCAATCGATCACTGCCAATATTTTTGTAGGTTGTGGTTTAAATTTTCGAAATTAAGTGACTTATTACACACAAATCAACCTCCTAAATTAGTTGAACTGCTTGGAAGTTAACCTTCGTGTGAAAGTAATAGCGAACACAGATACTTAGGACAAAAGTGGGCTACTTTTGTTAAGATCAAAATTTTGAAACAAGGCTCACCAAGAGAGAGATTTAAGAAAGAATTCGCAATCTCCCTGTGGCAGACGAAAGAGGCAACATTCTGATGCATTTCCGCCAAGAATTCCGTCAAATTTCCTCAAAGAATACCCGCCTCGATTTCACC